TCCATTATATTGTTCCAGTAAATAATATTTATTTATCGCTTTTATAAAGACTTGTGTCTGTATATTAGTTTGAATATAAGTTTAATTAATACTGGTGTATCAGTGCTAAATCCAATCGAACTATAATTCTAAAATATTTTTCTGTAAGCAATTTTAAATATTTATCTCAAGAGGTATAATATAATATAACTTCAGAACGGGCATAAACTGTTACTAAATGTATTCATTTTGAAATATTTATAGTCAAACCAAATTTGATATTTGATAACTTAAAACTGCAAAAAGATATATAATCGATAAATAGATATTCCAATGTGGTAACTTGTACAAAAGTTGAACAAATTTTGAGTTATAAACTCATTGTGTAGAATTTATATAGTGGTAGTTATACTTATTAAATTCATTTATAGTTATCATATAAATTTATCTTTATAATAAACTTTGAACTAATGATATCAGTTGTGTAAAACTTAAGTGTGATATTAAAAAACTATTATAAATTAATAGTATTTTATAATAAATAAGTGATCTAAATATATCACAACTATTCCTAAAGCTGTCTTCTATTATGATATTCATTGGTCCTGCAATAAAAATCAATAAAAAATAAAATTTTCGCAACCACTGTAACTAAGTATAGAATTTATTAAAATTGTATACAAAAACAAGCCTTTAGGATGAATATAGTGGGATAATAAAATAATTAATTAGTTTCTATGTAATATAACTATTTGTAGGTAAAGGTGTTTAAGCTTAATCGAAAGGAACTATGTTCTTGTTTTTATTAAAAAGCCTTTACTATTAATTTTACATTTCCTATGGTAATTTTATTTTAAATTTATTTTAATTATTTAATCTATTACTATATTGTGTGTGATAAAATATTACTATTTTTTGTATAATAAAATATATTTAAGGTGTTTAAATGATATTTAAGTCATAAATTAAAAATGTTTATGAGCAGAAGATTAATAACTAATTATGTTTGAAGCGCATAAAATGTCATTTACTAAATGTTAATGCTAATTGCAATCAAGTAATTTTAATTATGTTCAAACCGCATAAAAAGGTATTCAGTATTGAAATGCGCATGTATACCAATAAACAGCATCATTTTACAAGAAAATACATATGTTTATTATTTATATTTAATTAATATTTTAAGTTGCTTTTAATGATTACAAATTTTCAATTTATTAATATATTTTACATTAATTTTATTGCAGTTTTCAAAAGACATGACATTGCCGCACATCATGCATCAACGCCAAATATAGGATTTTCCAAGGTAAATTATAAAGTCGGCATAGAGCTTTTTATTTTCGTATGAATATTATATTTTAATTAATAACATTACTAAGATGTTATTTAAAAGACAATAAAATATAACAATAAATATGATAAGGAAATAAAATTTATATTTATAACTTTTGGCGGTTCATAAATAAAATGAAGTAATACGATGAAATGTGTTAACCTAAGATGAAGATGTTTTTAACCTAAATTAA